AACCCATGGAATCCCAACCAAGATCAACTTTTGCTGTTGGGAAGAGGAATTTTTTTTTTGCTTCTGGTAAGAGGAAAAGAACTGTTGCTGGATAGGGTGATGAGAAACATCAATGATCACTAATATCTTTTTGAATGCTTTTGGGTTGTGAGGGATGTTTACAGTTGTTTTTGGATTTTAACGTATGTGTTTGGATGATGACTATGTAATGGGTAGTTATTTTTGTTGATACTTTGGGATGACTATCATGTAATGAATGCTTATTAGGTTGTGTAATAGATATGTTTAATATATGAAATATTTTTGGTTTTGAATCTTTTGATTTAATGGATTGGTTTAACAATGATATCAAAATTGTGGTCATGTTTAACTTGCGTTTCTGAGATTTTTTTTAGATTTTTTTTTATAAAAAAAAATATTTAAATTAATTTAATAATGATATCAAAGTGAGTTTCAAGTACATGAAAAAATTTTGAGATTTTTTTTTTTTTAAAAAAAAAAAAATTTGAGAAATTTTTCAAAAAATTATAATATTACCAGTTAATATTGAAAAAAATTGAGCAGTTTCTCAATTTTATTGAATAATTTTAAAAATTGAGAAATTATTAGCTTCATATAGCTTAAAAAAATAATATAATATATGGTGCAACCATAATGTCAACACGATACAACTCAAATTATTATCTTCCTCTTGTTGTTCTTTTTCCATTATTATGTATTTTATTATTTTATTTACAATATTTAACTTTAAATTAAGTTAATGAAATGTAATTATGTTGTATATACTACACTTTGTAGGTTATTGTTGATGATTGCCAATTGGGCGTTCGTGAAGGACCAATTGATGCCAAAAGAGTTTGAATTTTAATAAATATTTCACCTGTATTCATTCACTTACATATGTTTTTAAACAATTTTTTAAATATTTTTTTAATACATTTTTTTTTTTTGGGTATAAATATATTAAAATTATCGCCTGACCATTTGGTGGTGGTTAGCATTTTCCTAATTTCCTACTTTTGTAATAGTGGTTGAAATGGAAGATAAATAGAGGAAAAGTTTATTATGCCAAAAAATAATAAAATGACTATGACAATATTATTAATATATAAGATTTTGTTACTATTTATTCAATAGTAAAATACAACAAAACAAAACTTGAAAAAAAAATTCTATACATATTCCTATTTCTCACATCATTTTTTCAATTCTAAATACAAAATATGGAGTTCGTCGAGTATACTGATGAAAGTATGCCTAGAGTCTCCAATTTGACTGTTTAAATTGAAACTCCTCATACCAAAGTATACATTTGTTAGTCTGAAAATAAATAAATAAATAAATAAACTTTCAAAACAAAATTACATATAATTTTGTCGATAATGATATGATGAATTTATTACAAATTCAATAATATGAAATTTAATTCTCTTATCATATTGTTTTAAATGAATTATAAATTATAAATCTCAAATAGTACAGCTGTTTGCACAGAATTTTGACAAGTGCTATTTTTGAAAAATTATAGGTGGCTCAAAGGTATTGCCTTGTAATGCACTCTCCTATTGTTCCTCATCACCTAATACAAAATTATAAACCTTATTCTTTTCATCAATCATAACAAACTTGAAACATTATCTGTCCATGTTCTAGAACTACCAAATAATTAAACTTGAAACATTAGCCTAGTTAGCCACCATGAATTTTTTAAAGTCCCGTTTATTTTCAGAGGTAGAATGAAGGTGATTCATAGTGAGGGGATTCATAGTAAGGGGATTAAGTAAAATTATATTTGTTGTTATAATAGTTATTAGTGTAGGAATTGTTAAATTATTTTTATATAAAATAAATAAAAAAAATATAAAAAAAATTAAACATTAATGTTAAAAAAAAAATTCCCAATATGTAAAAAATAAAAAAAATAAAATTTTTTTTCTAATCCCCTCACTATTTTTCTAATACCACCTCCACATCCTCCATCCTCTATCTTAATCCCATCATCCATCCTAATCTCTTTTCCAATTTTACAAACAAACACAATACTAAATAGCCCCACCTCCATCCTAATCTCATTCCATCTTTTACACTCCAAAACAAACGGGGTCTAAAGGTTTAGTTCTTAGAGAGAGGTCATGGATTCAACTTTCCTTAATGTTGTGTTTGGTTGGAGGATTTTGAGAGAGATTTGGAAAGGGAAAAGAAAAAGGTAGGTGAAATGTAAATAAAATATGCCTATATTTCATCTAATTTTACACACCTTTACCCTTTACTTTTCCAAATCCCTCTCTAAATCTCCTAGCCAAACACAGCATTAAGGAGTTGAATTAAAGGGGAAAGCACTTGGTGCTTTGCAAAGGATGGGATAGCTAATTTCCATAGATACTAATCTAATAACTAATAATTGATTTTCACCAATAAAAAAAAAACGCTCGGGCAAGAAGTCCAATTTTAAATTTTTCTTACCTAAAGGTCTACGGAAATTCTATTTTCACATACTTACTTACTTCAGTGCACATTATTTCTCAGTGCACGTACTTATTAATTTGGTTACTAATTGTTCTTCTCATTTCATATATTTAATTTTCTAGTTATATTCTAACTCATATCCTTGTACACACCCTATCGAAACCCTCATTCGACACACCTTTACCCATTTCAATTTCCTCTTCCACACACGTAAAAAATTTCCTCCATCTATCTATTTGCGAATTTGGCACTGTCCGCCATTGATGATCTAGCAGAGCTCTTATTGAGATATCTAGCAAACAAGACACCATTTTTCTTGTCATAATCTGTGAATGTATTGTTGACTACGTAGGTTTTGAACCCAATTTTCTAACCCGACCCGCCTTTTCCATACGAACTTGTCTGTGCCTTCGTTGAACGATTGTCCATAGCTCTTAAATTTCACAGTCCCTTCGAATTCTTCACGTACGATTGAAACGAATCGTCACCAACGTTCGATTTCTCTCTATAATTCATGAACTTATCAATGGCGGCATTACCACCATCACCATAGTTCTCGAAATTGTTCTCAGGTACATTTCCGTTAGACCTGTAATTCACACACATGTAAATAGTAGCTATAGCGAGTTTTGAGTTTTGAGAGTATTGTTTTTGTAAGCAAGTGAGAAATAATTAGCTTGTTTGGGCTCTGATTTGCAAAAAAACACTTTTCAAAAAAATTATTTATTTTTATTTTCCATGTTTTTTTTTCAATGAATTTTTTAAATATTTTAAGTAATTTTTTAAATTCTAAGACACACCTAAGATAAATGCATTTAAAAAAACGTAATATTTGTGAGAAAATCTTTAAAAAAAATCACTAAATACCAAAAATACAAAAAAAAAAAGATATACAATACATTTTTTGTATTTTTGTGTATTTATTAATTTTTAAAATACGTTTTCAAAAAATTTTAATATTTAGATAAATCTAAGTAAAATGCATCTAAAAAAGTAAAAAAATTAATTAAATTTTTAAAAATATTCACTAAAAATAAAAATTAAAAAAAAACTTAATTTCTAGAAAATTGAAATCAAACATACTGAATGGAAGTGAGAAAAAATGATAAATTAGGGGTTTTTTTTTAACTTAAAAAATGTATACTGAGGATTTTTTTTTTTTTTTTAAAGATATGTATATAAAAAATTTGAATATATAACTTCAAGGCCGGTCTAACTTCAAGTTGCTCCCACAAGGCCGGTCTAACTTCAAGTTGCTCCCGGACAGAAGTACATTTACAATCCTTTAACCGAAGTAACTTTATAATTCCTGAGCCGAAGTAGCTTTACCTCCCTGGGCCGGAGTAACTTTGTTTCTCCTAGGCCGGAGTAACCTTGCTCTCCTGGACCGGAGTAACCATTACGGCCTTTTTACTTAGTCCTTCGCACTTTGGGCCTTAAAGCCCAACTCGCAGCTCGGCCCAATTTTTTCCAAAAATTACCCTCTCAACTACGTAGGTTTTGAACCCAATTTTCTAACCCGACCCGCCTTTTCCATACGAACTTGTCTGTGCCTTCGTTGAACGATTGTCCATAGTTCTTAAATTTCACAGTCCCTATGAATTCTTCACGTACGAGTGAAACGAATCGTCACCAACATTCGATTTCTCTCTATAATTCATGAACTTATCAATGGCGGCATTACCACCATCACCATAGTTCTCGAAATTGTTCTCAGGTACATTTCCGTTAGACCCGTAATTCACACACATGTAAATAGTAGCTATAGCGAGTTTTGAGTTTTGAGAGTATTGTTTTTGTAAGCAAGTGAGAAATAATTAGCTTGTTTGGGCTCTGATTTCCAAAAAAAAACTTTTCAAAAAAATTATTTATTTTTATTCTCCATTTTTTTTTTCAATGAATTTTTAAAATATTTTCAGTAATTTTTTAAATTCTTAGACACACCTAAGATAAATGCATTTAAAAAAATATAATATTTGTGAGAAATTTTTTTAAAAAAATCACTAAATACTAAAAATACAAAAAAAAAAAGATATACAACATATTTTTTTGTATTTTTGTGTATTTATTAATTTTTAAAATACGTTTTCAAAAATTTTTAATATTTAGATAAATCTAAATAAAATGCATCTAAAAAAGTAAAAAAATTACTTAAATTTTTAAAAATATTCACTAAAAATAAAAATTAAAAAAAAACTTAATTTCTAGAAAACTGAAATCAAACATACTGAATGGAAGTGAGAAATAATTGATAAATTAGGGTTTTTTTTTTTAACTTAAAAAATGTATACTGAGATTTTTTTTTTTTTCTTAAAGATATGTATAGAAAAAATTTGAATATAATGTTATGTGTGTTTTGATATCCATTATAGTCATTTTACTTTATGATATAATCATTATTAAAATAATATTACATTAATAATATATTAAATAAATGTGTGAAAATAAAATTTTTCAAAAATCTAGACGCTTTTTTATTATGTCCACTTTGGCATCAACGCTTTTATTCCCTCACTCTCACTCTCGCTCTCACTCTCTTCTCTCGCGGACTCACAACTTCTCTCTCTCTCTCTCTCGCAGACACAGATCGATGGCCTCAATCTCTTCGCCGCAGCTCCTTACCTTCACCGCTGCCGTATGTCCACCACCTTTGTCGCTGCCGATCCACTGCCGTCCAGATCGATGTCGTCGGTCTCGGAGTTCACAGCAACTTCGTCCGATTTATCAAATCCAAACCCCTCTACGCCGTTGCAAACCCTAGCCTTACTCTCCCACAACGTCTTCGCCTCCGCTGCCATCTCCGTCGTCCGCCACTCCTTGCTTTCAAAATCTCATTTTCAGGCTTCTTCAAAGTGTTAGTTCCAAACTCAACATTATTCTGATTTCGATTTTTTTTTTTTTTTCTTGCTAATTTTTCATTTTTTTGTTACTATGGATTGCAACAGAAAACTCGCATCCAGATATGGCTTTTCGAGAAGATGGACTTGAGGATTGAAGGGCGCATTATTGTATGCTTTTTTGTTGAGAAACATATTGCAACAGATAAAAAAAATAAAAAATAAAAAATAAATAAAAAGAGAAAAGAAAATTATGAATATACTCTATTTTTTTTTTTTTTTGGGTATATGCACTGATTTTTTGTTGTTGTTATTGTTGTTGTTGTTGATGAAACAGATTTAAAAAAAAAAAACATATAAGCAGATAGAGTTTAAACATATAAACAGATTTGAATTCAAAAGATAAAATTTGATAAAATTGAATAGATAATAAAATTTGGACAGATATTTCAATAGATAAAAGATTTAAATTGAACAAATTATAAAATTTGAATTGATATTTGTACAAATATAGGGAAAAAACAAACAAAATTTGTTCTTTTGTTGATAAGAAGATGATGATGATGATGATGATGATGATGATGAGAGAAAGAGAGAGAGAGAGAGAGATAGATAGAGCAATGGTGTCTTGTTGCATTAGATAGTTCCATCAGATTGAAAACAAGTTTGTGAAATTTTAAATAGACAGATGATACCTTTGTATTTTTTAAACAAATAGAGAAAGAAACTCACATATTTTAAACGGATAAAGAGTGAAATCCATAGATTTTAAATAGAGAGAGAAACTCACAAATTTTGAACAGATAGAGAAAAATTTGATAGATAGATATAAATTTGAACATTGAAAATAATTTGAATAGATAGATATAAATTTCAACATATGGATATAAATTTGTACAGATAGTCAATGAAAAGTCAATAAATAAAAAAAAGTTAACAGATAAATGAAGGAGTAAATTTGAAACTAAAATGTTCTCCAAAACTAATGAAAGGATTTCTCATCAAATTATTTCACAAATGATGGACCTCTCACCAACAAAAAAAAAAAAAAAAAAACACTAAACAAATCCCAAACGCTCACTTAAGGATATTTGACATACAAGTAAAAAAGTCACATTTGGTCCAAACATTCATTTTGTTTTTAAGTGAAAATAATTAGGAGTGCAACTCGGGACAGATTCGGTTGGATTGGGAGGTTGTCCAAGCCTAGTCTAAGTTGTGTTGAGATCTGTCTAGGCCCGATTTGTAACCTAAGATTGTCTACTCAAACCTAACTCGAGGTAAACCCGAATTGCGCATGAATTGTCCGAATTATACATAAATTTAATTTATTTTTTTTGTAGCTAAATTATTAATTTATTAAAATTAGACTCTATTTATATTTTTTTTTAAAGAAAACCGTTCATAACATCAAAATAAATAATTTATATATGTAAGAGAGATGCGCTATGGGTCTTTATAATTTATGAGTGGGAATAAGAAAGATAAAATTTTATATTACTTGTATATATAATATATATTTAATATGATTTAATAATTTAAATTACTTTAATATCATATAATAGATAATAATTTATATGTATATTTAATATTTTTATATATTTATGCATGTGTAATTCGAGTTTCAAGTTATTTGATATATTTGTTTAAATTCGTTCAAAGTAATTCAAATTTTAAAATTTTTACTTAAACTTATACCAAATTTAAAAATATATTATTCAAATCTTAAAAAAATTCGAACTGAAGTTGAATTATTTAAGTTGGAACGCAACCAAGCTACACTCCCAGAAAAGATAAAAGATAGATGTTTAGAGGTTGAACATTTGACAGATTGTGGCTCAAAGAGGACATGAAGAATGGAAGTAGTTGGGGTTCACTTGGGTAGGCGGTGTCGTTGGTCGTGGGTCGCGGTGGTGTCTCTATCACTCCACTCCACTCCACTCCACTGGGTGACATGAAAATGCCAAAAATGGTGGGATTTTTTGTAGAAAAATGCCAAAAATGGTGCAAGTAGTATGTATGTTGTTGTTTCTGACATATTACATTACACGTATTCACATCACTCACTATACTCACTCTGATACACACCCATTACTTCGTTCAATAATAAATCAGAAAAGATAGAGACGCCTCTTTTTTCTTGATACTCATAATTTTTATAGACATATATAAGTGAATGATAGGAGAAAAAAAAATAAAAAAATAAACTAATCCCAATACATTAAGGATGGTGGGGGTAAAAAAAAAAGTCTCAACCTTTTTTCCATAATAAATTGTTTGAGGTTAGTCCTTATATTCTGATTTTAAATAGAATTTCAGTAAATAAGTGGTAGAATTAATCTTTCAAATTGAAAATATATGTAATTTCAAAAACTTCAAGAAATATATATGTGATTATCTATCAAGTACGAGTATGGATACGAGTACTAATATAATATAGGTATGTTAATATGATAAAATCTAAAAAAAAATGGGTACGGTTATAATTTAGTGCATTTGTAAAAAAAAATTTATTTTTAATTTAGAGTAATGTAAAAATTGATTAAATAATTTAATTAGTTAAGATCCAACTTACAATTAGCATTCAATGTCAAAAGTAAAGGTATAAACTAAAATTAAATGTCTTTATATTAAATATATTGCCATAGCTTAATTTTAAAATCATACTAAGTATAAAATTAAAAATAAAAAAGAAGTCTAGTGAAAGAAATTTTATCTTTGTAGTAAAAAAAAATTTATTTCGATTGAGTTACGATACGGTTTAGGTATGTATTAAGTACGTTTGGATACTCCAAAAATTAAGAAGAAAAAATTTAGATACGTATTTCATGTACCTAGTACATATGTAGAAATACCATACAAAATACTATACACCAATAAATATCCGATATGAGTACAACATATTTGTCGAAATACCCATACTTTATTGGTGATTATCATAATTTTTCACAAAAGATTAATGTTATTAACCCTTAAAACAAAACTTATTTCATCATTCACTAGTCTTTCTGTATTTAGGATTATAAGGAGAGTAGAGTAAGGCGACGCGTCTTCAAGCTTAATGTAAAAATTAGTTACAATAAGATTCTTAAAATGAGAATTTTTTTTTTATTTATTTTTTTTTAAGTTCTTAATATATATTGGGTTGTTTGGGGTGTCTTAAATAAGTACAATTTTTGAATTTTTAGATTAAAAAGTTGAGAAAAAAAATATGATTGTTTGGGATAATTTTTTGACTTTTTAGCAAAAAAAATATGTATTAGAAAATTGTATAAATTAATGTATAGGGGAAGATTGGAATAAAATAGGTTATACGGTGGGATGAGGTAAGAGATGATTCCCTCCTTTTCGGGCATTGAATGGACGGTGCTATTCGGCCCATGGGTGCCCACCACGAGTCTTGCTTTGCTTATCGAAACCGCTTAATGTGTAGAACTCATTGAGTACTATATACTTGTAAAAAATCACATTGATCGGATATCGATAGCTATCTGATCGGATTAATTTTTTTTTCAACCGTTAACTATAACACCATCTATTTTTTATACAAAACTGATTTGATCATCTAGTTAACGATATCCAATCAACGTGATTTTTAATAGACATATAGTACTTGACGAGTTGTACATATTGAACGGTTCAGATTATCAAAACGAGACCCGTGATGGACCCCCACGGGCCGAACAACACTCTATTATTCGTGCACCCCGCCTGTGCAATTTTTTCAAGAAAGTCAACTCGTGCTTGTGGGACGTCTGTTTAGTTTGTAATAATTTTATGTAAAATTAATTTTTTAATTTTTTTAATAACTTTTTAGCTTCTTGGATTATTTTAAGGATCCCAAACCAAGCCTAAGATTTTATAAGATAAAGGATATATAGTAGTTGGGGTCTCTTAACATTTTCATAAAGAAAATTCGACTCAGAGAAATTTATATTCAATTCAGAGAAATTTTAGCCCCAACACAGAAAATTTTCAATTTTTACAAAGAAATTTCATCGAAAGACCTTACTTAATAAAAAAATATCTTCAATCTCTCTTACTACACAAAGTTAAAAAGATATATTTTACTAATTTTCCTCTCTTAATACTTACATACTAATATTTTATCTTTATCCTCTCATTTATAAAATAAAAATGTCAAAGAAAGTCTTAAGGCTGTCATTAGTCTTGATATTTGCTTTAAAAATTTATAGAAATATGTCAAAAGTGTGTTGAAATTTATAAAAGTTTTAAGGAATATATAAAAGGTGCATTAGGATTATAATTATTTAATTTTTATTTACTTCTTATTGATAGTTCTGAAGACTATCATTAATATAACTCTTTATAAAATTATATATTTCTTCTGTCCCAAAATATTACTCTCTTATTTCATTTTTCGTTATCCTAAAATATTAGTACCTCTTCAAAAACCAATAACTAAAATAATATGAATTTCTTATTTTGCCCATTTTATTCATTAACAACACAAAAACTACAATTATGACAATTACTATTTCCTAGAAAATGCACTATCAAAGGGTGATTTTGAAAAATCAATATTTTTAAAGTGCAATAATTGTACTACTAAAAAAAATTAAATGCTCTAAAAAGAACTATTATTTTAGGACAAAAGAAATATTTTAATTCTCTGAATTATAAAATTGCATCATTGTCACATCTTCAAAAGGGACATTTGTATGATTTTTATAATATAAAGAATCCAAATGTAATGATTCATAAGCATGTTCAGTCCCGAGTCCGGATCCTCTGCCGTTGTTTCTTACCGCTATTCCTGCGGTGGGTCAAAATGACGTCGTTTTGACCATTTTTTTTTCTTTTTTTCTTTTGTCTTCTTCTTCTTCTTCTGTTTTCCAGCGTAGGTCGAAGCTCCTTGCTACAAAACTGAAACAGACGCCAAACCTCCTTCATTCATTTCAACCTCTACATAAGAATGCTAACAATTCTTCAAACCAACACCAAGATCATTGATCGCACCTGCCACCGCAAACACATCGAAGACGGTTAAATCTCCTCACTAGCGAGACTGTCGCCATGAAAGTCGTCTCCAAAGACAAAATCATCAAAGCCGAAGTGATGGATCGAGTGTAAGAAGATTTCTAGGTATTTGCCATTTCAATCTAATAACATAATCTCAATGTATGAGAAGATTTACAGAGCGCAAAGACAAAATCATCAAAGCCGAAGTGATGGATCGAGTGTAAGAAGATTT